GTCTTTGGGCGAGCTCGGGCCACGAGCCGAGCACCCGCTCGGCTCGTGGCACACGAACCATGAGCTCGGCTCGTGCGAGCATGAGCACGAGCCGAGCTCGTGCGATCATAGGCCGAGCCGACTCGGCCCATTGCCATGACTAAGTGCAGGATGGATTGTACAAACTGTCCATGTCTTTTTCAATCATAGTGTCAAATTTGTAACGTTTCCGTTGTCTATTTGCCTTTTTTTCAATGGACCTGCAAGCTAAAAGTGCGAAAGGAATCAAATATTGTCATTGAAATCAAAGTTGTTGATTTTGAGTTGCTTGTGATACTAAAAGTGTTGGAATATGAAAATTGGGTATCAATTTTTTTATTTTTAAAGTAATTTTTGAGAAATACACACTTTTTATATGACCACATAAAATAGCACAAGTCAATAGAGTGAAATATTGGTGGTATGGGTAACCAAACCTAAAAGCGATATGGCTGCTGCAGATATGACGGTTGTAACCTCTTCCTAATATGATTGTAAATAGTAAGTACTATCTCATTTTAAACTCTCAAAATTTAGTTGACAAGTGGAGTCTAGCAAGTTGGTTTAGTGGTGGACCCACTGGACCAACCAACCAACGTACTAAGTGCTTGAATACAAAAATTGGTGTTGACCTTTTTTAGTTCGGCGAGGCCTAAATATCAATTTTTTCATCCACGTGTATATTACTTGTACATTTAGATAATCATGTTAGATTGTACAGGATGTAGCTTCGACTGTACGACGATCGTATGCACTCTGATGCTCAAATTAGTTGAGGGAGAATATTTGGTGTGAAAGAGAGACGAAAAAATGGGTGTCGAATTTTAGATTATACTCACAAGTCTTACACTTGAGTTGAGTGAGAACACTTAGGTTACCTTTGAGAGAGAAATGATCGAGTATTTATATGCGAAGGGAGTAGGTCGAAGAGGACCCCTACTATTCGCTTGATATGTAGTTATCCTAAAAGCTCGCTTATCATGATCAATTGTGTCAATTAATAGCTATCATAGGCTTGTGGTTTTCATAGCCTTAATATAGACTAAAAAGTGTTGATCTAACTGAGCATCGTCGTAGTAGAGCTATCACATTAATCACTCCATACACTACTATGTACAACTTGGTCGATGCAAGGCTTGGGGCATATGCCCATTGCCTCGGGTATATGTTGCAGTAGAGAGATGATGCATCCCTCGAATAACAATAATGTTCTAAGTTAGACATCTAAAGACATGGTCTAATTGCCTTGAAAGATGTAGGTGGAAAAGACGATAAGAAGTGAGGTCTTGACGTTACATGGCCTTTATATAGTTGGCTATCACGTGGCTTCAACTCAAATTTTAATTGGGTTACCCAACTTTATTTTGTCTCAATCAATGAATAACAAAAACTAAATTTGCTTTTAATATTAGTCAATTTGTTAGCCACCTCTCCTATACTTGACATCACAATCTTATGCAACGTTAAAAATTGGCAGCAAACAATCTCATATTTTCTAGTAAATATGCTACATACTCGGTAGAGTGAACGCTACACTAACTGGGACTAATGAAATGACCAACACCCGAAGTAAATTGAATTTCAGTAATCTAATTACGATGAATAAACTTCATTAAAAGTTCAACGACCAAAAATGAAATGAACCCTTGTAAGTTATATTGGTCACAATCAATACGAATAGTGTTGATTAATGTTACTTTGCAATACCTACAATAAAATACTAATTTAGATGTAGTGATGGTAACGGGACGGGTTCGGAGCAAACCTATAATAAAATACTAATTTAGATGTAGTGATAACAATGGGACGGGTTCCCGCCCCGTCTAAGATGTAGTGATGACAATGAGACGGGTTCCCGCCCCGCCTTAGACGGGGCGGAGACCTAATGTCCAAAACAAACAGTGTTAAAAAAAAAAAAATTATTTATTTATTTTTTTCCCTTCACAGGGCGGGTTCAAGCCTCGCCCAGCCTCGCCAACCAATTCGTGACGGGGTTTTTAGCCCCATTCGGGACGGGCCCCCGTCCAGACGGAAAAAATTGTCATCTCTATTTAAATGATATTAAATGTCATTAAATAATAAATAAATTATTTAATTTTATCTTCCGTGATGAAATATAATATAACGTAGTGATGGATGGATACAGTCGTTTCGAAAATATCATCGTCTTTATGTCGTTATTTTGTTTTGTTGTGTGAAACATGAAATCATTATCGATCCAATTCCAGGGCAGGATAGGAATTTTGAACAGTACAGAAAAACAAAAATCCTGAGTGGGAAGGCGGCTGGGTTGCCGTAGCTATCAGCGTGAGTCACAAAAACTGCTGACTCATCCCTCTTTCTTTCGACTTGGAAATCCTCCTCGTGCTTATCGTTCCACCCCTCGATATTTTCTCTTTCCCAAACTTTTCTGGGTTTACCGTTCTCTCTAAATTGTGCATGTAAAAAAAATATGTTACATGATGTCAACATCCTCACACGAGGTGAGGCACAAGATTGTAAACACATTTTATGTACATAAGTGGACCCCACTCCACATGAGGATGTTGATACCATTATGTACATAAAATTCTGTAAATGTAGACAAATTCAAAAGTGTGGACATCGTTATGTACATAAGTGGACCCCACTCCATATGAGAACGTGGATACTATTATGTACATAAAATTCTGTACATGTAGACAAACCCTATATAAAATGAACAATGATATTTAAAATCACGATATTTAATATCAGTTTAAAATAGCATTATTCATATAAAATACCAAATAATGCAACAACTTATACACAATCATTCATTTTCATAATATTATCTAGAATTTCAAACCCTAATAATTTTATTTATGAAAACCACACTAGTATGTATATCTATGTGCATATTCATTTCTAACTTTATTTATGTATTTCTCTCATACCATACCTATGTTATACACATTAGTATTTTTTTTAATTAATATACAGAAAGCACGCTTTGACCTGTAGAGATGGAAAGAAATTCCGGCACCGGCTTCCATTGATCAGCACCCATTATTAGTATTCTATAATAATTCCTCCGGTTGGAGCTCTGTGAGGAATTCCCTTCCTCCTTTTTCCGCTCGACCAACTCTGAGGAGGCGTTGATGGACTAAAACTCTGTATTTTGTTCTTCATCAGTTTATTATGCCTTTTTGTACCGCCGCCGGCTATGGATTCATCCCACTCCCACATTTTCTTCCTCTTTTCAAACTTATTCGATGTCCCAGTAATCTGATCATTTCATCAATCACATCATAGATTCATAAGGGCCGGAAAATGAATCGTTTTCCACAAAAAAGAAAAGAAGTGAATAAATAGATGATACCTTGCAGCCAAGGGAGCAGAAATTGAAGGAATCGAGGAGGCTACGCTCACAGACTCGGCAAGTATTGGTGACGCCTTTACCAGGCCTTGGCTGTGGGCGTTCGTTCAGAAAAACGATTTTGGCACTGTTGATAATGTAGGTCTGAACCCCTGTTATGTCCAAATACTTTTGAATCTCAGAAACCCTTATCACATCGTGATACGATGACCTCCTAATCTGCTATCCCAACAACAAATTAGTTCATCAATACTGAAATTAGAAATGGTTCTGTTGATTTGACTGATTGATTGGGTACCTGAATAGCTCGATGGTCTTCGTGGAAATTGAGGCAGAGGGAACAGAGTGCTCCGTTCTTACAGTCCAAACAATACATATTGCATTCGCTCTTGTGAGCACTGGCGTGAACCTTGCATTGACCGAAGAAACTCGTTTGCAGAAGTGGACGGAGCCACGCTGGCCACTTGCTATAATCATCTTCATATTCACCTCCAAATTCACCCTATTCCAAACATTTCAGATCAATAAAACACAGAAATCCTCATAATCAAATCAAATTATATACACATATATTGAACAAACCATGATTTTTTTTGGAACGGAACTGATGGGCTTCAACTTCTGGGAAATTAAGAGGCACGGAAAATAGAGAAGAGAAGAAGGTGAGAGAAAAAGAAGAGGAAGTTTCTTTAGTATAAGTATTGCAGTGGGTCAGTGGAGGAATGGTTTGTGCTTATCTGACTGACCCAAAAACTCCACAATCGAACTCAAACAATAAATTTATGGATCTGACGTATTTACTTTTGAGAAATTTTAATTCACTGCCACTCAACTTTAAGTAAATTTCCAATTGAGTGACTAAATGTTAATTTGTCTTCATTGGGTCACTCAACTTTAATTTTAATTTCAAATTTCAAACTGATTAAAATTTACTTAGTTCAGAGTCATACAATAAATAATAGTAATTATATCTATCTATATTTAGGTGTCATTTAATTGATAAAAATTTATTCGACGTATTAAACGGGATTCACACCATTACGTTTAAGATGACAAATGAATTATTATCACCTAGACTTCTAATGGGCAACTATTACATTTAATATGTCAAATAAATTATTATCACCTTGACTTCTAATGGACAACCAACTATATAGATAAAATTATTGAATAACTAATCGCTACGTGACAACCTAGAAAAAGGAAATGGAAATTTGAGAGCTATAGTAATGTCTCGAGTTATTTATTTATTTATTTTGACACTTCAATGATAATGATAAATTAGTATAGTAATGTTGTGTGTAGCACCAGTCTAATTGACAGTGAACCTCACAAATTCATCATGTAATAAACTAGAATGTATTTTTATAAATTAGACAATGTGGCGGAGATACTACACATCAGTAATAATACATAATATTATTTGAATTTAGCATGTTACTATGTATATGTTTGGCTTATATTTATAACATTCAAATATTTTTTTTATCTACACATTTAGTTAGATCCACGATGAGCCAATGACTAATCACTTATTCACCATTCATTTTTATTTATTGACAAATGGGAACCTACACGCCTTCATAGATTTTTGTTTTTCAATTGGGAGATCGAGAGTTAACTATGAAGACTATGGACTATCCAGACATTACATTGTGAAAAACTTATATGGACTATTCGGACATTACGTCGTGAAAACTTTTATTCTCTCTCTTTCCTCTCTTATTCTGAAGAGGGGAAAAAGGAGAAAAAAAAAAAAAGTGATTATGATTCGTTGAATTATGATTGTCAATTAGGCAATTTTGATAAATTGAGATTTAATTGAAAGTTAAGTGACTACATATGAAATTTAGTTAATAGTTGGACAGAAATGAATAATACGAGTTCCTTGTTGAATTTGGCCACTTGGGGATTGGGTTGTGGCACTATTAAAACATATCTGGGAATATAAAATTAGAAGATGAGCGGTTGAGTCTCATCAGCGCATAACACGTGCTTGGCCTTTTCATTCAAAGTATACACATTTTTTTTTATCGTATAGTGGCCTCTTGTTTTCGTTTTTTATAGTTCATAGCTTTTTCGCATTCCCTGTTTAGCCTAAACAACAATTTCCTAGAAGTTACAAAGGCAAGAAATATCTAAAGTATTTTGTTTGACTAAATACTTTTGAAAGATGTATTTTTTCCTCTTTCATATTATCCGAGCGTGTTTGTTTTAGATTAAAATTCAATTAAAATATCAAGTCAAACTCGACAATTAATTTCAATCACATATTTTATCAAAATCTACTAAAAATCTGATTTTTATATCTGTTAAACAAGAGTCTAGTTTGTATAATGTTGTATCTTGTCGAACAAGTCATTATACGACTTAGATTTATATCATAAATTTTTTATAGTTTAATTAATAATCGTTAAAAAGACAATTGGAGGAAATACGGTAGCAGGGTTTTCTTCGACTCTTGAAAAGGAGCAAGTTAGTCATCAATGTTGTATGTTACATGAGTAGCCGATAATGCCATTTATACTTCAAATCTTTGTTAAAATTTCACGGGAGAAGAAGACTAGAGGAAGTGCTGAATTCAAATTAGGTGTTAAAAGAGTATCATATGGATTTGTTATACTCTTGAATACGAAACTAAATATACTGATATCTTGACAACATTCCGAATAACTCCTTCACTTTTATTAAATTTTCTAGTTTTTCATTGTGAAAAGAAAATCCGTGAGACATTGGCACTACTTGAGTCCTTTCAAGAGATGATTGTAGAAATTCAATTTTTTTACTTGTTGCAATTAAATTTGTGATAATGAAGTATTGTTCTTGTTAGATATTTAGAGCATCTTCAAAAAATTATTTATTTTTAAAGAGCATTTTATGCATAATAGAGAATATCTTTAAATTTATAAAAAGATTTATACACTTCAATATTATAATGCTCTTTAATTCTGCATTTTGCTTTTCTCAAAAAAAAATTTATTATTTTATCCTTATATTTTATTTAACATATTTTATATGTTAATAACAAATCAATTTAAATGTGATTTGAATAATTTAAGAAATAGTATTAAAATCTATAATTTAATCAATGTAATCATTGCAAATTGAAGAATAGAAAATGATTTTGACTCTCCCAATTCACTCTTTATTTTAAAAAGTTAAAATAAAATATCTCGAAGTTATTTTTAAGCAATAAAAAGTAGAGAATTTTTATCATGTTCACTGTGGACAGGAGATCAGATTTCAGAAGGAATAACATCTTTATACGTGGAGCCAAACATTTATGTGTACGCATAATTGTAGATTCAGTGGCCGTCTGGAGAAATTAAAGTGGGATAGTGGAGTCAACCGTCCATTGTGATGTGTTTGATCCACATTATTTTGGAAAAATATATTTTGAAATAGTACATTGATGAAAAATGTGTGGTTGAAAAAAAAAGTTATTGATGTGATGAAAAATATTATTTTATTAAAGAATGTGTGGTTGAAAATGAGTAAAAGAATGAAAATGAAAATTTTGATTTGACCCAAACAGGAGATTCTGTACAAAGAAGAATTTTAACTTTATAAATTTGGCCCACAGAATGTAACTTCAAATTAACTTTATGCTATTTGTAGAATGTTTTTGTACAACATTGTTGACAATATTGGTTGTGGCAAAAAAGTATTGATTGAAATAATAAGTTATATTTTAAACCGCCAAATGATAACATGCCACGTGGCATGTTGTCAACAATGATGTCAAAANAAATGATAACATGTCACGTGTCATGTTGTCAACAATGATGTCAAAATCTTTGTACATGTTTCAATCATCTAGTGTTATCATCTATAGCAAATTTGTCCCATCCTTTGAAAAGAACATTTTATTTACCGACCATTAGTTTCATTTGCATATTTTATACCCAAATTCAATTTGTTTTATGTTTTCTTAAACGAAGTTTTTACATTATTTTCTTCAATTACTGCTCTCTATAAAATTTATTTTTCTAGTTTATTGTCTATGATAACTTAACATCTAGCTTTTAAAAGTGGCTAGGATACCACAAGAGCCAACCACATCTTGTGTATTTTATGTACAATATTTTTTTTACAGACGATGACAATCCTCAAATTAAGTTAACGATGTAGATCTAACTTTCTAAAAAAAAAAAAAAATTAATCAGCTTCTTCATCCCACCCCTCATCCACCCACCACCACTACTGCTGCCACCATTACCAACATGCCACTGTAATCATGGAGGGTTTCTCCGATGATTGGGGTGAAATCCCCTTGAATTTTCGATTAACAGTGGTGACATTGAAGAGCCAGAGAACATAGGAGGTGATTCCCCTACGAATTCAACTGGATTTCTCCCCATTCACTAGAGAAAATACCCCTTGATTAAGGAGGTAACGGCGTAGTGGTAGGGGTGGGGTGGGGTGGGGTGCGGTGGAGGAGATGATGGGATGTAGAAAATGATTATTATTAATAATTTTTTTTTTTTAAATTTAGATCTATACCGTCAAATTAATTTACATGTTGGGATCATGGATCAAAGATCCATTGAACATCCCCACTTTACGTATTTGCGAATTATATATTACTACATTGTATCATCATCATCATTAATTTCAATTCATTTTCAAGAAATTAATCCAGCGTGCATGGTCCATAAATTGAATAATCAAGTAAGAACATATTACTAGCTTTTTTAATGTCAAATAATTATTTTTGACTCTGTCATTCATGGAAAAATTACTTCTAGCTAAGATGGTATTAAAGAAATGTTCTCAATTGGTAGATGATAAAATGTTTCTAACCTTTCAGAAAAACTTAGGAAAGGTCAGTTTTAATTACCTTCTCTCTCATCAGTACACAGAAACGTGCATATATCCATCTGCAGACTGCAGGAGTATTAGTTCCCTGAGAATTTGCTCTGCAATGGAAAAGATACCCTCAGGTTTGGGTATTTGCTGGCTCGCCATTGCTTCCTGCTTCCATATTCACTCATTAATTTCTTCGGTTATTTCTTACAGTGAATTGCTCACCTCGTTTCGCATAATTTCTTGTCTTTGATACATTTTAACGTAAACTACAATCACATATTGGCAGAGCGTCCTAAGCTTTACAAGCGTAAGGGTGGAGACAATATTGGTCCAGTATCCAGACATTCTGATTCAGTTACTGATGGAGTAGCTCGAAGGCCACAGACGAGTTCATGCTCGAGCCATTTAGGAAACGAGAACGCTATCGTGCGATGCGAAGATAGCATGCATTTGAATGCGGGCAACCCGTTATCCGTTTAAAGCGGGACGAGGCCCTTGTCCTGTTTACTATCCCGTTTAAATTTTTTTTTTTTTTTTTTAAGTTTTTAATAATTTATTTTCATTGCCCCCATTCATTAGATTTAGACAAATAATTTTAGTTGTCATTTTCTATTAGAACTAATGAAATTTCGTAAAATTCTCCATTTATAGTATTGAATTCTAAAAAATTAAACGAGAAGCCCATTACCCGTCCCCGCCCTGAGGCAAAACTCCTTGTCCCGAATACCTGATTAAGCGGATTATCACCGCCCCGTTTGGGGGCAAAGCCCCACGGGTATCTGATTTGTCGAGTTTTTTAGCCATCCTTAAATGCCTGATGTCTCTCCATTGCAAGTAGAGGCCAATTTTGGCCCATGCATAGATGAATTTAGTGCTCCAACATATTTCAACTTATGTTAAGTCTGCCTAGTATCTCAAGGCATTAGCTCGTGAGGCCTTTGCTCTAGGCTGGTGTTACCACCAAAGCATTCATATAGCCTGAGAAACATCACTATAATGCACCAGAGCACTCATAGCCATTACAATCACATTTTATCAAGTCAAAACGCGAAGAAAAAAGTGGAACTGCAATTCCCTCAAGTATATGGTAAATTTTCTGTGAAGCTTAAACACTACCTATTTTAGAAGTGTGATTCAAATCATTCAACCCCAATTTTATCAATTAATGCACTATATAAGGTACGGGGTGGTGATACATAAATAAAACCAGTCGTCAATAACTCCGGCCCCAGTAGGTCCACTTTTTAGCAGGTTTTCCTGAGGCAAAGCACAACGTACCTGCATGAAAAAGAATATTTAGTGGAACAATGCAAGGCAATTTGAAATCAGGTAAATTACATCTAGTAATTAATAAATGAACTAGAAACATTTTTTTGTCAATTATGACAAGTACTGGTCTTCAAGCGGAGGAGGAATTGTTCATGTACCCCCAAGCTACATCATGAGATACGGGGAACTTTTATCAACAAAATTCTCGAAAACTGAACTTATACCTTCTGGGAGTTCTGGCTGGTCAAATGGAGAACACAGGGACTTGGCTGCACCCATTTCTCCCTTTGTCCGTGCTTTTACATCCTTCTCCACCTCCTACAGTACAAAAC